CCCCCCCCCCCCCCCCCATGCCCTCCAAACAAGCCACGGCAGGACAGCACCTGCCCCTGCTTCAGCCCCAGCCCCTTCCTTACCATGGGGTCCTTGATCAGTCTCCTGCACACCCCCCCCCCGAACAGAATTTTAACTGAATTTTAACTTGTTTAACTGAATTTTGGTTTAACAGCATATTGCCTTACCAACTGGATTCTGCTGTCCAAGCTGCTGGGCTGCATGTCAGCGATTGGATCGGTATTGGCCGATATGGCTGGTCAGTAATCGGCCATTGGTATCAAATTGGGCCCAAAAAATTTTTATTGGTGCACCCCTACTGAGGCCTCAATTGCATGCAAGGTTGCATTTTTATTTAGGTTGTGAACATCACCAAGGGAGTGTTCACTAGAGAAAATGCATTTAATCCAAATTTGTGAATAGTTAACAGAGGAAATTCCTTATTCTAAGCATCTACTTTTACACCTATTACCCTTTTGGAGTATAATGCACAGGCATAGTCCTTTGTGTTTACCAGTATGCTTGGTTTATGAATAATAGCACAGATGTAAAATAAAACATACAAAGCTGCCTCTTATGGATAAATGGAAAATCAGTCCGTATCAAATGAATGTTAGTAGTCAGGCTCCTTCTTGAGCACGCTCTAAACTAGATGTCAGCAATGTTTTTGGGTATAGTGCCAAAAACACTCATAGCCTCAATTTGTAAGATGTAGATGTGCCAGGGGTGGACAGGGGGAGCTGCAAGGGGCCCAATCCTTGTTCTGGCAGTGCAGGTCCAGTCCCTTCCCCACCGTGTGCCGGGAGGTGCACATGCGAAGCAAAATGCCTTTGGGTGCCATGCTCTGGCACCTGTGTGGGGGTTGCCTACCTCTACTTTAAACTATGGCATACACCTATTGTGGGGCATGGAATTTCAGTTCATCTGAAATGCGCTTACAGCATATTGCCTTCAGCAAGATCTGGTGGCCAGACACTTTCATTAGAGTAAGCCAAAAGAAGAAACCCACTTTGGAAGTAAATTTGTTGGAGTTATCTTTTGATGCAATAACTGTCACAAAGTAATAGGTGAAATGCTGTAAACTAACTCATAGTCTTTCATTTCCAGCTTTAATTGTGGTGAAAATTGGCATGATCCTGTTAAGTGCAAGGTAAGAACATCTGTCTTCCTCACTGAATCTAGGGCATTGTGGCCTTAAAGGACTATATTGTCCTATTTTGTGTATGTCATCTGGCAAAGTAGAGGGGAACCTTAAACCACTTACACCAATATATGTAATAGATTTCTGCCTGTTTGGGCCAAAAAAAAAAAGACAAACAGCACTTGAAATCTGCAAGTAGTCTGATATCCCCTACTCAAGGCAGAGCAACTACTGTTGTTTGGGAAACTTCTGACCTGTGATGTTATAGTAGTCTCTCTCCTTGCCTTTGGCAGTAGAAAGATATGACCTCAGAAATGCACATTTGCTCTCCAGGGAGCACTTGCATGCTCACAATGTTCATGTAGGTGCTTAGCATCTCAGTGGGTTCACAGATTGCTTCTGTTTTTCATATTTAATCTTGCTGGCCCTGATTCCAGGGGCTGCTGCTGTGTAGTGAGCCTTGCAGGTTTAGATTATTTTGTTACAGTAGGACAGTGCTCAAAAGGTGGGCATAAGATTTGTGGTACTGTGATACTGTTTTCTGCTAAGTGTCAAGTGATTCTGATACATTATCTGCCATAAACAAATTTTAAAAATCATACCCACCCTGATTAACAAGCGATGGCATTCAGTATGTAAATATACCTTTGCACATTTTTTTTGTTATGTGCTTATTATGACCTTTTTAATTTTACTAGAAATATCTAAAGTCTATTCTGTTTCATCCTTTTCCTAACAGTGGTTAAAGAAGTGGATTAAGAAGTGTGATGATGACAGTGAAACTTCCAATTGGATTGCAGCAAACACAAAGGTTAGTTTCACTTCCTCTCAGAAACCTGTTTTCTACAGAAACCTTGATGCAAACCAAGACAATAATTTAATCCTTTGCTACCAGGGGAATCTTCCTCCCCAGCCCTGTGCTATTGTCAGTATAAGGTGCTGAAGTTGCTAGTACACTTAAAATGCTTCTTCCTGTGGACAGGTAATGTTTTGAATTCTAGTTCAGGGTTTCACTTTCATACTGAAAGGGTTCATTGGAAACCCAAAACAAGGTAAAGTCTTCTGTCCAACAAATTTGTATTTGATTCTGTGTGTGAGAAACATGCAGCACTGTTGGTTTGGGTGAGGCTGTGTTAATTTACATCCGCCTTTTCAGGGGCTGTTCATTTCCGTTGGGCAGAATTCCAGATGGAAACTGGCAGAACAGCTGTTAAGATTTTATTATGTAAATCCATTGGTTCCAGATAGCCCAACTCTGCATAAAACTTTAAATGTTCTTTTTTGTTTGCTTTTGTGAGGAATAAAAACAGAGAGGCTGACACAGTGGCAAGGAAACAAAGCCTATAACTGCCATGTGGGGACTGCAGTTTAGAAACAGACCTGGGCCTATAGGCTGCCAAGCCAGAAGGGCAAAGAAAAGTGATGGGGGAGGGCAACTAAGAAATTACCATTCTGTTTTTCTTAGCTCTGCTGTGTAATCTCTGAAAGGGCATTGTTTTCTGTAGAGAAAGCAGATCTGGTTTGGGGCACATTGCATGTTTTTTGGTGAAGCAGAATTGGGTGCATGGTAGCAGGTGAAGAACTTCCCACTGTGTGGAGATGCATGGTTGAAGGTACTTCCATTCACTTTAAGTGTTTATGCCTGGTCTCTGCTCAGAAGCAAACTTCTGAAAACTCAGCAAAATTTATATTTTAAGCATGTTTAACAAGCTTCATACAGTGTTGAGAAACCTCCTTATTTCACTCAAGAGGTTACCCAGGTTTTTGTTCAAACTTTGCTTCATCCTTAAATATTACTAAAGAGGGCAGTGATTCAGTGGGCGTGATGTGATTGATTTCTTTTATGCTGTAGTCCTCCATGGGCTTCTGTTTGCCTTGTGGCTGAAAGGTGAGAGGGATGTATGCTCAGTAGACTGAGCTGGTATTGCCTTTAATCTAAAATAGCTTGGGGTACTACAAGGCACTTCTGTAAACTATTCCTGGCTCTCCTCTAATGCTGAAAGATGTGGGCCTTCCTCCCTCAATTTGTCCAAAATTTCAGCCGTGGGGGGAAAAAAATAACGTTTACATTGGTAAAGGCAACTTTCTTGGGATCCTAAATCGACTAGTAGGAGCCATTTTGGTAGTGGGGGGGGCAGGAAGCTGAAACCCAGTGCAGGCTGTCAGTAATCAGGATTTAGCTGCAAGCAGGAGAATCCCTGGTAAACCCACATGTTGAGAAGGTTAGTGAAAGGAAATGTCCTAGAACATCTGTTAAACTATGCTCGGTAATATTTTATAAGGCCTTTTTTTTTCAGCAAGAAAATACTTTGATAGAGCCCAGACGGTACAGTAGAAACCAAACCCAGAGTATTTGCATCGGACATCTGAGCTGACCTGCTGTCACGGAGTCTTGCAGCATCTGTATCAATTAGATTAACTATGGGACAATGTCAGTTATTCTCTCAGACCTCACGGTAGATTGAATTGAAGGAAAAGCTGGCAGGAAATGTAACCCACCCCCGGTAATGACCTCTGTGCCTTCTCAGGGGTATTGACAATGTAGAGGAGTGTAATTTTACACTATTAATGGTTTAAATATTAGCAATAGTGACTGTTGGAACATGCACAGTTTGAGCTCTGCCCAGCACTTATTGGCATGCCTCGGGAGGACCAGCACAGCACAGCACTCCAGCAGAGCAGCGTGCCTGCCAACAGCCTCCCTCTTCTGGCTTAGCTGCCTGTTGGCTGCAGTCCAAATTCTCAAAGAAATCTGAGTGCATCTGACCATGGCACGTGTTTACCACCGTTCAAAATGGACCCAAATATTTGTATAATCCTAAAGAATCCTTTCTTGCTTGGGCATGGGGTGGGGGGTGTAGGAGAAATAACTCCATGCAAAGAGAAACCTCAGAAGGGCATTCAGGCTCAGACTAATACTGCAGTTTAGGAACTCAAGACATTTCTTGAAGTAAAGAACCGTGAAAGAAACTGAAATTAGTCAATTATGAAATGCCCTGTTGAGTTAGAAAACCTGACTCCGTTGTCTTTTAACTAATCTTGCTTTTTGTGTGTGCCTTCACATTTCTTCCTTTTCCTGCTGCAGCTTTTTAGCTTGTGAAAGGACCTCTCCTGTGTAGGTCAACAAAGAATTGGATGAGTACCAGTTTTTATGTGTTGTATATTCAATTGGTGGTCCTGTTGGAGGAGCAGTGGGATAATAAGATACATTTGTCCATGCTTGCCTTAAGAAACAGGAGTGCCACGAGGGAAAATTAGAAAACTGCCCTATGACAGAACACAAAAACAAAAGCAAGCTAAAAAGATTGTCTTCAGAAATTGGTATGGTGTAATGAAGTCACTTTTACATAGACTTGATCGATAATCCAATTTATTTACGTGCAGAGCATCATGCAATTGAAATCGATGTTGGGCTTAGCAGGGAGCCTTCTGGTCCCTTGTATTGATGCTGCTGTTTTCAGTTTGAGGGATAGTAATGTGGTTTGTAGGATTATAGCTCACAGGAGCCCATTGCACAGAACATGGCATATAGACGGAACAAAATCTGGATTAAGTAGTTTAATCCAAAACAAATTGACTTCAAACTGAAATGTGTCTAAATGGGGATGGACATCTGGTTTAAAATTGCACCTGAAGTGAATCAAGAGCAACTTTATGTTAAGGCCTTAAATCCTTAAAGTTCTTGTTCTATTTATTAGGCATAGCTTGGGACATGAAACACCTTCTTCACAAAGGTGAATTATTTCTTTAAAGCAACCCTCCAAAGAATATTAACTAGGAGTCTTTAAAAACCAGTAGAAATTTTAGCCTTAAATATCAGGACTATCAAAAGAATTCCTTGGCTGTTACTATAGGGTGCCTGGGCAGTTTGGGTATGCTAAATAGAAGGGGCAAAAGCATTCAGCATTGAAGACCAGGCTTCCTCCATCTGAACCATGAGTCACCAAAGTAAAAATTCCTTCCCTTTGCTATTGCTCTGCTCTCTTGGTTGACATGATGTCACTTCTCTACTATTTTCCAGGCCAGACAAGACTTGAATTTCTTGCGTACATAACAAGCAGAATCTTTTTTTTTTTCCTTTCAGAAAAGCTTTCAGGCCTTTGTCCATTATAAAGAAATGCAAAAGGGCACAAGCCCAGTTCTCTCTTCCTTTTCAGGCCCTTTTGACTGTGTGCTTCACTCCCTCTCTGCTGTCTGGAAAAGCTGCATTTGTGTTAGTGCCTATAAATTTTGGCATCCCATCAAGTCCTTTTTTTGGCACCAGCTTCAAACTCTTTAAGAATATCTCTTTCGTTTCATGCCAATACGTTTCAGCGCTAGAGCCACAAAGTATCTCATCTCGGATGTAGAACTGCTATTTTTCTTTTTTCTTCTTCGAATGAGCAAGCATTTAAACCATCCTGTTTAGCGCAGTGTTTTCTACGTATAATTACACTAAATTGTCTTGCATGAGTATGTATAATAGAACATGCAGAATCCAGAATGTCGAGAGAACTGCTGGTAGCTATTGAGCATCCTTAGGGTATTGAACAACCATTTTTAAGTTTGGAACTTAAGTGCAGGTATCTTTGGGCAGAGCAGGAGTACTGACATAACTCCAGTTCCCTGTGAGATTTCTGGAAAAGCAATGAGGGCAGATCTCCTAGCATAGTGTGGCTGTGGCAGGCGTGTCCAACAGGTGGCCCGCCAAGCCATTTTCTGAGGCCCAAGGTGCTGCAATGGGAAACGAAAGTAAACAGTGTTTACTTTCGTTCCTGCCCCTTGTCCCTCCCCCAGCCCCTCAGCAGCTTCCTAATGGCTGGGGAAGGGACAAGATTCCCGCACGCACCATGTCAGCTTGACATTGCCAATGCGGTGCAGCTCCTCCCCTCCCCTCCCCCCTCATTTCACAGTGTCTCTTCCTAGTCCCGCCCATCTCTTACTCATTTGCATGCTGGCCCCGCCCTGCACCAGTCCCCGCCAGCCGCACGGACTAGAGCAGGTGGTTGTGCGGGGGATGCGGATGCTGGCTCGGAGGGATGCTGTGGCTGGGCCTCCGGGAGATGCTGCTGTGGCTGTCGGGGCTGGAAGCTGGCACTGCTCCTGCCTCCCCACATCCCCCTACGCCTGCAGACATCATGCTGGGGGTGGGGAGTTGCGGGCCCCAGGGAGGGAGGGAGCCCTGCCGGTTGGGCTCGGGCTGCCCCAGGGGAGAGGGAGCAGGGGGGTGTCCCTACACATCCTGCACTCTCCTGTAGGGTCCCTGCATGTCTCCCTGGCTGCTGAGCCCAGGCGCACAGATGTGGGAGCATCCCAGGTGTCAGGGAGGACATGGCGGGGGTTAGGTGGCACCCCTTGACCCCTGCGCCCCCAGGCTGCGGCTGGACTGGACAAGCCACATGAGCACCTACTCCTGCTGGCCCACTGGGTGATAAAAAGTTCATGATCCGGCTCCACATTCAAAAAGGTTGGACATCCCTGAGCTATGGGAAGCACTCGAGTTGTTTCACCTTTGCTGATATTGGAACTGCAGTTCCTGAATAGAGTAATAATTGCTGTATTCAAAGCATAAAGCTAATAAAGACTAAGCATGGCAAAAAGGGGACAGGTTTGCCCTGGTTTTTGTTATAACCTTAAAATAATAGTTTTCTACCCTAAAATAGTAGAATTCTCCGGATTATGAATATCTTAATTAGGTGACCCCTTGCATCAGAGCATGATGATGATCCATCCAGAATAATCCTCTGGTTTGGTAACTTGACTTCCTTTTCGTAATGTTGCTTGGCTGCAGTTCTTAGTAGGGGCCTCACTTCCTAACCTCTTCAATCTAGA